AATAATAATAATATGTTTCGTGGTGTTGTGTTTTGGTATTTTGTGTGATGATTCCCAGGAAGGATAGGTCTGATATTTTGTAACGTAACAAGATTCACTGCTAAATTGAGGCTGGAAAAAGTCAAAGTTCACGTCTCGAGAACCACAGGCTACGCCAGTGACTCTGTATCTACCAGCAAAGAGAGTCATGTTTCTTGCTCCAAGGTTGCCATGGAAACTATACTGGCAAAACAGCACCAAATGAGTAATGTCCCCATATGCTTTTTGCGCTATTGAAGGGAAAAAAAATATTTTAATTGCTCAGAATTAAGAAGAGGAGGGAGAAAATGTGCTAGTTCTGCTCTCCGTAAGCTCATTATTTATTTATTTCAATTTTATTTTTTTCTCGATAAAGCCTTGCATGACGAAAGACCATCTGTCATGTCTTAGCTGTCTTTTCCTTTGCAGTTTGCTTGACTTTTTAATTCTGATTTCCCTCACTCATCGAGCGCCTGGACTGGCGATAATGAGACTGTCTTAATTAATAAGAACGCACCCACCTAGCTCGTCTCAGAGCAATGGGAAAGACGGCCCCCTCTATTAGGCAGGACGTACACGGTGCCCCTGACCAAATTACAGTCATTTCATTTGCTCTCCTCCTCATCACTTATGTAAAGATTCTCGCCCCGGGTGGAGGTGTTGGGACGGTGTGGGGGCGTCAGAATAGCTGCTGAGGGATAAGACAAGACAACAACACTGACAAGCAAATAAAAACAGACAAAGGGCTTTGACAAAAGCTTATGTATATATGTTTGGTAAAGGAGGTGGTTCTATTTCGGATGGCGTGTGTGTATGTGTTTATTTTACTTGTGGGAGAGATTTATAATGCAGTTTAGCCGAGCACTGCACGCACAAATGCTCATTCTCTCATTTTTGCTTTCATGCCCACGTGTGTGCAAACACACACAACGTAAGATTCAGTGGGGAAGCCGGTAGGAGCGGCAGCCCTGTTTCACAGGGGGCAGCTGGGTGGGACTGCGGCCGGAGCGAGTGATTCTAAGGCAGCTGATGAATGGTGCCACTGATGGGTCATTTGTCCCGGTGATAGAGTTAGCCACTGCCCTTTGGGAGGAAGAATAAAATAAAGAAAGCTGGAGAGGAGCGTGACGGATCGGCCAACGGTAACAGAATAAGTGGCTGCCTCACACATGGCTACCGGATCCGACCTTCCTCTAATTGGACATTCTCGGGGAGCAAGAGGGCAGAGAGTGTGTCTCACATAACACGGAGACAGGCTGGACATGGTGACAGAGAAAAAGGCATTGAGTTTACACAGGGAGGGATGCACATCAAAGATTGCACATCAAAGAATACAAAGGGATTAGACTTTCTGAACTGTGGTTTTGGCCTCAAAAATGTAGTGAACGAATGAAGAATTACACTATAGGGGATGTCATAATTTACTTATCTTTATGTTGTTCTCAACCTGTGTGATTTTTTTTCTTCTTCTGTTGAACACAAAAGAAGATATTTTGAAGAATGTTGCTAACCAAAAATTTCTGGTAGCCATTGACATTGACTGGTAGCCATGGACGCCAATGGCTACCAACAACTGCAACCTCCAACATTTTTCAAAATATCTTCTTTTGTGTTTAACTGAAGAAAGAAACTCTTACAGGTTTGGAACAACTTGGAGATGAGTAATTGATAACAGAATGTTCTATATTTTTTTAACTATCCCTTGTATAGTAATATTTGATTATTAATAGTAATTGCCATGCCATGTAATTCATTTGATTATATTTACTAGTAATTAAGTTGATCTGTAAACTTTCATCATGACCTGAAAATACCACCTAGCAGTTTTTCACACACAATTGCATAGGTGCCATTATTACAGCAATTTCACAGTTTGCACTTTCTCTATGAATCGCATATGATGCGTCTCACAGCAAATAAATCAAGCATGCATCATGTTAATGCACTGAGGTTGTCAAACTGTAATGCAGGTCAAAGGAGAACAAACGTGTTTTGGGATTGTTTCTAATAGCTAATCATCAGCTCAGCATGTGCATATCAAAACTAAGTGAGACTGGCAAGCTGGCAAAGTTCAGCGTGCTTTAAATAGCATCACTTAGGAGTCCTTCTGAAGCGGACTGTGGATTGTAAATGTAATAAAATTTACCATTAATTCAAGTTACAGCATTTTACTGTAAAACTAGTTTTATTTTATTTTAAAAACATTTGGTTAATTTAGTGTTACTTCGACTGTTCATTCTCATTCACATAGATAGTATTCAAGCTGCTTTTACAGCTTTTGTGTGAACAGAACAATTCAGAAATCACACCTGTTAGTAAACATGTTCGTCAGTCCCAAACATTGTGTCAACGTAGCCAGTGTGTGACATCCTCAGCATCCGTTTTTTTTTTTTCCCCTTCTGTAAACATTTTCCAAGCCACTCTCTCTGTGACTTTCCCCCCTCTCCACTCGGGCGGAAGGAGGAGGGGGGTGTTATCCAGGCTGGCAGCCCAGAGCACCCTTTTTGAAGCTGCTCTGAAGAGCATGGTCTAGGTAATCTCTGCTCGGCTGAAAGCCGTTTACAGAGAGAAGGAGACAGAGGAAGAGGTTATACTGGGGAGAGAGGATGCAATGGAGAGTGAGAGAGAGAGAGAGAGAGAGAGAGAGAGAGAGAGAGAGAATGAAAGAAAGAAAGAGAGGCAGGGGATATGAAAGAAGAGCGAGAACAGAGCCCAGGCAGAGGATGATAAGGCCGGGGGGATTTTGTTGCTGTTTTGGGGTCAGATTAGGAATGGGGTCTTGCTTTTGTCACTTGAGAGAAGAAGAGAGAGACACACACACACACACACATCGAGAATCAGATAGAAGAGTGTTGCATTGTGGACTCCTGAAAGTCCCTCTCTGCATTTGTTTTTTTTTAGTCCAGTGTAAATTCATGTTCCAGTTCCATTTGATCTTTACATAGATTTTATGGTTTAAGACATATGGATCAGAATTAAGCAATACACAACAAATATAATGTTTTAGTGTGTTTCTATTAACATACTATTATGCTTTTTGCTTCAAAAATAACAATATTATAAAGCCAAAATCATGTTTCTTGTACAGTTGCATTTATTTGTTCCCACTAACAGTTCCAATCCATTAGTCATCAAATCCAGATGTAATAACAATCTTAAAATCAGCTTACTCACAGGTAATTATTGTAAGTTCATTTTGATCTGGTTGTGACTGAAAGTGGTGATGTGAGTGGGTGAGTTTTGTAATTAGTCATTTAACCAGTTTATTGCAATCTGTGGACTGCTTGCGAATGTGATAGGTGGGTTCATATTGTCAGCGTATCAACCAGTAACAGTGACTTGGAGGCACTGGCTTCTCTCATGTGACTAGGCTATTTCTTTAAGTATTTCACTGTTCTTTAAGGGAGACATACAGTAAGAGACAGTGCATTCCCCCATGAAACTTTATCCACTGGTATCCTTGTTGCAAAAAAACACAAAAAACAAGGTCCATTGTCAACAGTTTAGCGATGTTTGAAGCACATCTCACACAGAAGTCACTTTCAAACCAAGCAAAACCAAGTTTTTTTTTTATGGTTAATTAGCCAAATTCGCTTGACCAACTTGAATCCGATGCAAAATCTGTGTGGGGAAATCTCTCAAAAAAAACCAAAAACAGATCACATGAATTCCTGTTAAAATTACTGAATTTTGCCCACGAAAAAAATCACAGAAAATTGGTTAATGTGACTGTACCTTTTAGACAGTGTTACTTTGGGTGGCTTATACATTATTCATTGTATAGTTGATTATTGCTCATCAGAATCTTTTTGTGGTGGCACTGCCTCCACAGAAAAAATGCCCCTGAGAGAGAAGTATGGAAAGAAAGAGAGAATGAGAGATTGGACAACAACTGAGAGACTAAAAGATGGTTTACAGTGAAGTGTTGCGAGGTTGATCATCAGTTCTCTATCAAAGGCAGTTCAGAGATAAAGTGATCTAATCGAGCTGTCGAAACACATACTTAAATATTCAAGACAAACACTAGTCTGTAAAAAACGCTTTAGGGAATATTTTACCAAAACACAAACATTCAGTTACTTTTTTACTCAACCTCGTGTTGTTCCAAATTTATATGCTGCTAATTTTTTTCAGTGAAACATACTAAAATAGCGATTTCAGACTCTCAAACACAATAACATCACCATAAAAGTGGGTAATATGACATTTAACTTTCACTATAGATGCCATATTTGATTTGAAATCTGCAGCAGAAGTGAAAAGTCAGTTATTAATGATTACATTGTGTTCTTTTCAGCACACAAAGCTATCTGAAGCTGGCTTCAGAAAACTTAATATAGCACATAAGTCATATGGATGCCTTTTATGTTTTCGGGGGGGGAGGCATTTAACAGCTTGTGGCCACCATTAACATGTTGATGTATGGAAAATATGTGGAGATTCATTAAAGTATTTTCTTGAGTTCCACAAATAGTATAACAGCCTATGGGTTTCGAACAGCATGCGGGCGAGAAAATAATGCCAAAAAAGTAAATTATTTTATTAATGCATTCCCAAAAATCATTAAAACTGCAAAAACTTGTTTTATTGCCATGCAAAGCACAATGAAGCTCATTATTTGCCTGGTGCTATTGCTACAGTAAACAATCATGCACTAACTGCTTGGTTAAATAAGGTATCTAGTTCACCCAGTGGTGTCACATGACTGAATAACAGTAAGAAAACTCTCCCATTCGTGTGTCGAACTTTTAAAAGTACAGCATCTTCCCACGTGTCCTTTATCCTCATCACATGTTCCCTCCCTCCGCTGCCTCCCCATTTCTCTCCAACCGTTCGGCTTCATCCTTGTTCTCCTCTGTGTTTCAGTTTCTTTTCTTGTGTTTTTCTGTATGTGCCGGCTCTTCGTCACCCCTCCCTTTCTCTTAACTGTGCTTTCACAGCTGACTGTTCTCTCTCTCTCTCCCGCTCTTCCACCTGTGCAGGTTCGTCGGACAGGGTGACTTGCCACGCTCCGACTGCCCCCTTCTCCCCACAGTGAGTATTGTCATGCTAATTTTACTGATCGGCACCGTGTCGAGAATTTCCGTGGTTGTGGTTTGCTTTTTCTGCGTTCTGCGCTTATCTGTTTTGGAGGGGGACAGTCGAATGTGTGATGCATGGGAGGAAAGAAAGGGAAAAATGGAGATAGAAAGAGAAGGAGAGAGCATAATTCATGTGTGATTGTCAGAGTTTTGAGAGTTCAGCTCTGTGAGATTGACACACCTTTGGACTGGGGCAATAAAAGTTGTGCTGTGTGTATGTGGAAACGTTATACATAGATGAAAAGGTGCTTAAAGAGGCTAAATCTCAATCTAATTTCATCAAAAGCCATGAATCTTTTTATGCAAGTTGACACATACTGTACATTCCCTTTGGTCTGTGAGAGTGTAAACCGTAATACTGTAATATTGCTGCATTTGAGTACATGCAGGTAGAAAGTGCTTTATAGTTTCTTTTTTCTTCTCAGACAATGTATGTCAGTGCTGCATGAATTTAATATTGCTTTGACCTTAAAATGCTTCAGCTCATTTGAATTATATCCTTCAATTTATGTAGGAAAAGTCCAAGATTCTATTACAGAGCAAAGCTTGAGGCGTTCACATTTATGCACATGCTAATTTTCTTCTTCTTCTTCTTTTTTGTTTTTGAAATTTTCACATACCTTAATATTTTTATAACTTAGTATACCTTGAAATTACAAATCCTGCCCCATGACAAAATACTTTTATCTGCTAACTGGCTATTTAGGACAGCATTTTTTAGACAAGGCCTGCAGGTGATAAACAGACAGGGTGGTGAATTAATGGCAGACGGTCTTAATCAAGTGACACAAGCTAAAAGCAAAGGAAACACTGTGTCTTATTTGTGTAAATATGCATAAAGAAATTAGGGGAGATCCTTTATGCAGGTTTTTTTTATAGTTGTCTTCCCAACATTATAAAATCATGGACTTATTTATTCATCAACATTAACTTAATGGATGCGAAGGAAGCTTTACAAAATGGTTCAAATGGTTAACATTAGTTAGGTATCATGGACTAATAATGAACTATATATATATATATGTGTGTGTGTGTTATACCTATAT